GGTGAGTAGGGTTAGTGGTTGGGGATAGGTTAGTAGGGGTGGGTGGGGGTAGGGTTAGTGGGGGTGGTAGGATTGGGGAGCGGTGGTGGCTAGTAAGTGCTGGTAGGATTGGATGAAGGATGGTTAGGTCAGTGAGGGTAGGGGAGGATGGCAGGGGAGGATGGCAGGGTAGGGGAGGGATGGCAGGGTAGGGGAGGGTGGTTGGGGAGGGTGGTAGGGTTAGCTAGGTCTGGTGAGGGCTGGTCGTCGTGAACTAGTGTTTGGTGTGGTTGGGGTGAGTGTAGCCAGCCCTCCCTGTAAATGATCGTCACACTGTCCTGCACAACCAATTGGCCGCCATCACCCGTGACCTTCACAAGGGCGGAAAAGCGAAAGGAAATTTTTATGTGGGTGTATTGGGGAGCAGGAACTTCACACACACACACACACACACACACACACACAGAAAGAAATGACCACCAAAGGTCACACCCCACCTGTATTACCTTTGGATTAACTATCCTAACCTAATATAACGTATTCTACCTTAACTTAATCTAAACTAACCTAATGAAACCAACCCTAGCCTGACACTAACTCAACCACGCTAATCTAACCTAACATCCCCAGGTAATGATAGGATGTTTATTCATCAGGTGAAGTAAGCTGGGGGGCTAATGTTCATTTGAGTCGAAAGAAGGGGAAAAAAACGAATAATTTGGACACTCACGTTCTTGACAAACTATTCACTTTAACCTCTGAGTTTGTGGTTAACAACAGAGACACAACAAGTGGTAAAGACTTTAGAGTTTTGTACACGCCCTGGGGTTGATTGACTCATCCATAGGCATAACAGTTATAATACCCCTACTACCACACAGGAAGGTGGGAAGCACGGTATTATGAAAGTGTATTATGGGGAAGAGCGGCCATAGTCCAGGTATATTTAAAAGAGGAAGTGAAGGACAGGTGTTGGACACTTATCATATTTCCACAAGAATAAACGATATACAATATTAGCCCACCCAGTTTATTTCACCTGATGCTTAAACACCCCAACGCTACAGGTTAAGTCGAGTTAGATTAGGTTAAGTAAAGGTAGGTTAGATTAAGTTTAATTAGCTTAACGTTAGGGTGTTTAATCACCAGGTGAAATAAACTGATCCTAAAAATAAACAAAACTTGTGATTAATATATTTATGTATCTTACCTACAGCATATCGAAGGAAGTGGACCTGCCAGTATTACTCCTTCCACCGCCAGACACTAGCACTCGTACTGGCGAACACCTCCGGTATGACCTCCCTTGTGGGCTTGTTCTTGCATCTGACTTTTTGATGTTTGAGGCGCACGACTTTTCCAATGTTTACATTTTGGGTTAACGAGTCACATTAGTCCTTAAGTTGTCTATAAATTTCTTCAGATTGTAGCGTAAATTGGACTAATTGTTGGAACAATGTTTTTGCACTGATACGTTACTCTACCTATTACCAAACTTGTCTTATAACTCCACTTTTATAACGTAAAAATATCATTAAATTCTCCCATTTAGGCCAAGATGCGATCAATACCCCATCACTCACTTATTCCCCAAGTACCATGATTAAGATTAACAGTTACCATAGGGAAAAACAGCACAAACTCGCAGTATTGACGAGCAAATAGCGTTGTTTACAAGAGGGTGATCGCGGAGAGTGACGGGAAGACCAGTCACCCCCGGTTTCCTCACTATAGCGCGTTTCCTGAAAAGATGCCCCGCCCCCTCCTCAAAAGTTACAGCTGATTGGCTGTTGCCAACCTGTCCGATTTTGTTCTGAAGTAATGATGTGTTTCTAAATGAGTTTATTCATAATCGTTGGGATGACCGTTTCTGACGAGAAAGATATTTAGCAAAATTATATATAGATACATACATTCATTATTTCAAACATAAGCACGTAGGAAGTTTATCAGAAGTATTATACATAAATTAACTGTTAAACTCTGGTAGCAAATTCACGCTTTCGGAGGATGCATTTAATATACACTTATTTTTACCCACAATAAGGCATACTAAGACAAATTACGTATCAGTAATATTACATTATGCAAATACAATATTTTTTAAAGATCAGAATCACATTGAAATATTACACGACCGTCAACAAAAGCGGGAAATATGACTGCTAACTCTCATATTTTTCCTGCCTCTGCTAACGGTCGTGTAATATTTCAATGTGATTCACAATCTTCACTGTGATTTTTCATTGTGGTTACATGAGAAACATCTTACTGAACAAATCGGACAGGTTGGGCGGGGCATCTTTTCTCAGCTAGTGGCGGCTGAAGTAGTGGGCGGGTAGTCTGCCCACCTGAGATCCGCAGATACTCGAAAAGGAGAATAGTGAACTCGCTAACAGATTCATACATAGATCCATGGGGATATAGATAAGTGGGTAATTATATAAATTTATTTATAGAAAGATAGATAGCGATAAATATATAGATTCCTCGGCGAGATAGTTACTCGTAGTTTCCAAATTTTCGCATTTTGCTTAAATAACAAAAGAAATTATATTAATGAATTGGCAACTCAACTACAAACACAGCTGCCACAAGATTCTCACATCAAAATGTCTTCTTTAAGCAAATATACGAAAATTTGGAAACTTCTAATGATCTTAAATAATGATGAATAGATTGTTATTATAAAAATGCTTTCTTCGGTAAGTTTAATATTTATCCTGGTAGTGATACAGGTGAAAATAGATCCACCACTAACGTTCACCATTACATACAGCCTTCCTTTACCAAGTACTGCCAGGTAAAATTGCGAGTGCGAGACCCAGGGTGGGGTCAGAACATCTTTGGTCGACTGTACATACATACATACATACATACATACATACATACATACATACATACATACATACATACATACAACTCACGCTAAGCTTAAACTAACATCCTAAAAATAAAAATAAAAGATTAATATTACTGAAATTCATGACCTGGTTATATGACTGAGTACACGGGACGGATCACCTGAAAATTAGACACCACACTTTATTTCACCTGATCATTAAGCACCCGAACCCTACCTGGTTAGGTTAGGTTAAGAATAATTTAGGTGAAATTAACTAATCATCAGGTGATGCGATACATCACAGGTGGACACAATAACACAGGTGAACAATGACACAGGCGGATACAATGGCACAGGTGAACACAATGACACAGATGGACACAATGACACAGGTGGACACAATGACACAGGTGGACACAATGACCGAGATGGACACAATAACACAGGTGAACACAATGACACAGATGGACACAATAACACAGGTGGACACAATGACCTGGTGGACACAATGACACAGGTGAACCTATGACACAGATGGACGCAATGACACAGGTGGACACAATAACACAGGTGGAACACAATGACACAGGTGGACACAATGACACAGGTGGACACAATGACCAGGTGGACACAATGACACAGGTGGACACAATAACGCAGATAGACACAATGACACAGATGGACACAATGACACAGGTGGACACAATAACCAGGTGGACACAATGACACAGATGGACACAATGACACAGGTGAACACAATGACACAGGTGGACACAATAACACAGGTGGACACAATGACACAGATGGACACAATGACACAGGTGAACACAATGACAGGTGGACACAATAACAGGTGGACACAATGACACAGATGGACACAATGACACAGGTGAACACAATGACACAGGTGGACACACAATAACACAGGTGGACACAATGACACAGGTGGACACAATGACAGAGTGAACACAATGACACAGATGGACACAATGACACAGGTGAACACAATGGCCTGAGTGGACACAATAACACAGTGGACACAATGACACAGGTGGACACAATGACACAGGTGAACACAATGACACAGGTGGAACAATAACACAGGTGGACACAATGACACAGATGGACACAATGACACAGGTGAACATAATGACACAGGTGAACACAATGACACAGATGGACACAATAACACAGGTGGACACAATGACAGAGATGGACACAATGACACAGGTGGACACAATGACACAGGTGAACACAATGGCACAGGTGGACACAATGACACAGATGGACACAATGACACGGTGAACACAATGACACAACTGACACAAGCACAGGACAATGACAGGTGAACACAATGACACAGGTGGACACAATAACACAGGTGGACACAATGACACAGGTGGACACAATGACACAGGTGAACACAATGACACAGATGACACTACACAGGTGAACACAATGACAGGTGGACACAATAACACAGGTGGACACAATGACACAGGTGGACACAATGCCTGAACACAAGGTGGACACAATCACAGGTGGACACAATGACACAGATGGACACAATGACACAGGTGAACACAATGACACAGGTGAACACAATGACACAGATGGACACAATAACACAGGTGGACACAATGACACAGGTGGACACAATACAGGTGGACACAATGACACAGGTGAACACAATGACACAGGTGGACACACACACAGGACACAATGACACAGATGGACACAATGACACAGGTGGACACAATGACACAGGTGAACACAACACAGGTGGACACAATAACACAGGTGATGACACAGATGACACAATGACACAGGTACACAATGACACAGGTGGACACAATGACACAGATGGACACAATGACACAGGTGAACACAATGACACAGGACAACAGGACACAATGACACAGGTGGACACAATGACACAGGTGAACACAATGACACAGGTGACACAATAACACAGGTGGACACAATGACACAGATGGACACAATGACACAGGTGAACACAATGACACAGGTGGACACATAACACAGGTGGACACAATGACACAGATGGACACAATGACACAGGTGAACACAATGACACAGGTGGACACACAACACAGGACACAATGACACAGAGGACACAATGACACAGGTAGACACAATGACACAGGTGAACACAATGACACAGGTGGACACAATAACACAGGTAGACACAATGACACAGATGGACACAAATGACACAGAACACAATGACACAGGTGGACACAATAACACAGGTGGACACAATGACACAGGTGGACACATAACACAGGTAGACACAATGACACAGGTGAACACAATGACACAGGTGGACACACACACAGACACAATGACATGGACACAATGACACAGGTGAACACAATGACACAGGGACACAATAACACAGGTAGACACAATGACACAGGGACACAATGACACAGGTGAACACAATGACACAGATGGACACAAACACAGGTGGACACAATGACACAGGTGGATGAACACAGGTAGACACAATGACACAGGTGGACACAATGACACAGGTGGACACAATGACACAGGTGAACACAATGACACAGATGGACGCAATGACACAGGTGGACACAACACAGGTAGACACAATGACACAGGAGGACACAATGACACAGGTGACACAATGACACATGGACACAATAACACAGGAACACAATGACACAGATGGACGCAATGACACAGGTGGACACAATAACACAGGTAGACACAATGACACAGGTGGACACAATGACACAGGTGGACACAATGACACAGGTGGACACAATGACACAGGTGGACACACACAACACAGGTGAAACACAATGACACAGATGGACGCAATGACACAGATGGACACAATAACACAGGTGGACACACTGACACAGGTAGACACAATGACAGGACACAATAACACAGGTGGACACAATGACACAGGTGGGACACAATGACACAGGTGGACACACACACAGGTAGACACAATGACACAGGTGGACACAATGACACAGGTGGACACAATAACACAGGTGGACACACACTGACACAGGTAGACACAATGACACAGGTGGACACACAACACAGGTGGACACACTGACACAGGTAGACACAATGACACAGGTGGACACATGTGCAGACACAATGACACAGGTGGACGCAATGACACAGATGGACACATAACACAGGTGACACACTGACACAGGTAGACACAATGACACAGGTGGACACACAACACAGGACACACTGACACAGGTAGACACAATGACACAGGTGGACACATAACACATAGACACAATGACAGGTGGACACGACACAGGTGGACACAATGACACAGGTGGACACAATAACACAGGTGAACACAATGACACAGGTGAACACACTGACACAGGTGGACACACACACAGGTAGACACATGACAGGTGACACAATGACACAGGTGGACACATGACACAGGTGACACAATGACACAGGTGGACACAATAACACAGGTGAACACAATGACACAGGTGAACACAATGACACAGGAACACAATGACACAGGTGGACACACAACACAGGTGGACACAATAACACAGGTGGACACAATGACACAGATGGACGCATGACACAGATGGACACATAACACAGGTGGACACAATGACACAGGTGAACACACAACACACAGGTAGACACAATGACACAGGTGGACACAATGACACAGGTGGACACATAACACAGGTGAACACAATGACACAAATGGACGCAATGACACAGATGGACACACAACACAGGTGGACACACTGACACAGGTACACAATGACACAGGTGGACACAATAACACAGGTGGACAGACAATGACACAGGTGGACAATGACACAGGTGGACACAATGACACAGGTGGACAATGACACAGATGGACAACAATGACACAGGTGAACACAATAACACAGGTGGACACAATGACACAGGTGGACACAATGACACAGATGGACACAATGACACAGGTGAACACAATGACACAGATGGACGCAATGACACAGGTGGACACACACATGTGGACACAATGACACAGGTGGACACAATGACACAGGTGGACACAATGACACAGATGGACACAATGACACAGGTGAACACAATGACACAGATGGACGCATGACACAGGTGAACACAATGACACAGGTGACACACAACACAGGTGGACACAATGACACAGATGGACACAATGACACAGGTGAACACAATGACACAGGTGGACACACAACACAGATGGACACAATGACACAGGTGAACACAATGACACAGGTGGACACATGACACAGGTGAACACAATGACACAGGTGGACACACAACACAGGTGGACACAATGACACAGATGGACACAATGACACAGGTGAACACAATGACACAGGTGGACACACACAGGTGGGACACAATGACACAAGATGGACACAATGACACAGGTGAACACAATGACACAGGTGGACACAATGACACAGGTGAACACAATACACAGGTGGATACACAACACAGGTGGACACAATGACACAGATGGACACAATGACACAGGTGAACACAATGACACAGGTGGACACAATAACACAGGTGGACACAATGACACAGATGGACACAATGACACAGGTAACACAATGACACAGGTGGACACACAACACAGGTGGACACAATGACACAGGTGGACACAATGACACAGGTAGACACAATGACACAGGTGAACATAATGACACAGGACACACACACAGGTAGACACAATGACACAGATGGACACAATGACACAGGTGAACACATGACACAGGTGGACACACAACACAGGACACAATGACACAGGTGACACAATAACACAGGTAGACACAATGCACACAGGTGAACACAATGACACAGGTGGAAATACACACAGGTAGACACACAATGACACAGGTGGACACAATGACAGGTGAACACAATGACACAGGTGGACACAAACACAGGTAGACACAATGACACAGGTGACACAATGACACAGGTAACACAACAGACACAGATGGACACAATAACACAGGTGGACACAATGACACAGGTGGACACAATAACACAGGTAGACACAATGACACAGGTGGACACAATGACACAGGTGGACACAATGACAGGTGAAAATGACACAGATGGACGCAATGATACAGGTGGACACACAGGTAGACACAATGACACAGGTGGACACAATGACACAGGGACACAATGACACAGGTGGACACAAAACACAGGAACACAATGACACAGATGGACGCAATGACACAGGTGGACACAAAACACAGGTAGACAATGACACAGGTGGACACAATGACACAGGTGGACACATGACACAGGACACAATGACACAGGTGACACACAACACAGGTGAACACAGACACAGATGGACGCAATGACACAGATGGACACAATAACACAGGACACACTGACACAGGTAGACACAATGGGTGGACACACAACAGGTAGACCCAATGACACAGGTGGACACAATGACACAGGTGGACACAATAACACAGTGGGACACACTGACACAGGTAGACACAATGACACAGGTGGACACACACAGGTGGACACACTGACACAGGCAGGACACAATGACACAGGAGGACACACACACAGGTAGACACAATGACAGGTGGACGCAATGACACATGGACACACACACAGGTGGACACACTGACACAGGTGGGACACACACACAGGTGGGACACAATGACACAGGTGGACACACAGACACAGGTGTGACAATGACACAGGTGGGACACAACAGACAGGTGGACACAATGACACAGGTGGACACAATGACACAGGTGACACACTGACAGGTGGACACACACAGGACACACTGACACAGGTGGACACAATGACACAGGTGGACACAATGACACAGGTGGACACAATGACACAGGTGGACACAATGACACAGGTGACATAATGACACAGGTGGACACAATAACACCAGGTGTGGACACAATGACACAGGTGGACACAATGACACAGGTGGACACAATAACACAGGTGAACACAATGACACAGGTAGACACAATAGCACAGGTGGACACAATGACACAGGTGGACACAATACACAGGTGAACCTGACACAGGTGGACACAATGACACAGGTGGACACAATGACACAGGTGGACACAATGACACAGGTAGACACAATGACACAGGTGGACACAATGACACAGGTGGACACAATGACACAGGTGAACACAATGACACAGGTGAACACAATAACACAGGTGGACACAATGACCTGGAGTGGACACAATGACACAGATGGACACAATAACACAGGTGGACACAATGACACAGGTGGACACAATGACAGATGGACACAATGACACAGATGGACACAATGACACAGGTGGACACAATGACACAGGTGGACACAATGACACAGATGGACACAATGACACAGGTGGACACAATGACACAGGTGGACACAATGACACAGGTGGACACAATAACACAGGTGGACACAATGACACAGATGGACACAATGACACAGGTGGACACAATGACACAGGTGGACACAATGACACAGATGGACACAATAACACAGGTGGACACAATGACACAGGTGGACACAATGACATGGGTGGACACAATGACACAGGTGGACACAATGACACAGGTGGACACAATGACACAGATGGACACAATGACACAGGTGGACACAATGACACAGGTGGACACAATGACACAGGTGGACACAATGACACAGGTGGACACAATGACACAGGTGGACACAATGACACAGGTGGACACAATGACCTGGATGGACGCAATGACACAGGTGGACACAATGACACAGGTGGACACAATAACACAGGTGGACACAATGACACAGGTGGACAGTGTGACACAGATGGACAATGACACAGGTGGACACAATGACACAGGTGGACACAATGACACAGGTGGACACAATGACACAGTGAACCTGTGACACATGTGGACACAATGACACAGATGAACACAATGACACAGGTGGACACAATGACACAGGTGGACACAATAACACAGGTGGACGGACAGCAGCGTGAACACGACAATTGGACACAATGACACAGGTGGACACAATGACACAGAGTGGACACAATGACACAGATGGACGCAATGACACAGGTGGACACACAATGACACATGTGGACGCAATGACACAGGTGGACACAATGACACAGGTGAACCAATGACACATGTGGACACAATGACACAGGTGGACACAATGACACAGATGGACACAATAACACAGATGGACAAACGTAATTTCCTGGAAAATTACGTTTGAAATCTACACTTGAACACTACATTACACAGTTGACTTTATTTACATTTTGTTATGTGCCATGTAACCCTTGAACCACATGTGTGTGTGTCTGTGTGTGTGTCTGTATTCATCTGTCTGTCTTTCTGCCTGCCTGTGTCTGTCTGCCTGAGTCTGTCTGTCTGTTTGTCTGTCTGCCTGTATGCTTTTATCTGTATGTATGTCTTCCTATTTGGCTGTATGTCTGTATGTGTCACCTGTATGTCTTTCTGTTTGTTTGTGTTATATATATATGTCTTTCGTTAAGTATGTATGTGTGTGAATCTTTCTATCAGTGTGTTTGTCTATTAGTACTTCAATATGTCTCTCTCTCTCTCTCTCTCTCAATTTATTTCTCACTCATCCATCTCCCCGTTTAACTTTCAATATATATATCGCTATCTATGTCTCATAAAAAAGCATAAATATTGTTGCACTGACACACACACACACACACACACACACACACACACACACAACGTCTGTCACAAGTAGTAATAGTGGCAGTGACAGTGATGGGTCAGACACATGGAAACGTCACACCGCCTCACCAACACACTATAGACATTAAGACCAAGTGATCGGGGTCACAGGAAAATGCCTTAAAACGCCATGTTTGTGGATCTGTAAAACCATAGAATCATCAGAAAATAGATGTACATTGCTTCTCTACCATTCGTGATCTCTGAAACGTATACAGACATACAATACGTTTTTCTTTAAGCAGCTACAGCGTTCATGAAAGCATGGATCGTCCTATAACGCCTACCTAGAGTTTGTGAATCCTCAAAACCGCAGAAATGCATCATCATCATCGTGTTCCCTCAGCAAACTTAACATTCGAGAATGTATGGAAGAATGACCAACAACGCTTACTTAACTTTTGCAAATTGCTAAAATCCCCAGGATATTACATGATAGTACCTTTCGTGGCTAAATCTATGAGGGGCCAACTAAAAACTCTCCTATCATTCGCGAGTCCCTAACATATTTTGAGGCTTCACGGCTGGTCGACTTAAAAAACTAAATTAGCTTTCGCAAATAGCTGAAAACCCTTCGGGGACGGATGCATGGACAACAACACTTACCTAGCCCTTGCGAATAGCTAAAAACCCAAAGTATACAAACCTCACCATTCCTGGATGTGCGGGTGATCGACCTACACCACCTCACGTCTACAGATCAGTTTGTTTACCTCTCCACCACTATCAGAGCCTCAGCGGGTGTGTGGAGGACGCGGTTATGAAGCCAAGGGTTGTTGTGGTTCGCGTTGAGGCGTCTTACTGTGTGATTGAAGGTTATATCATAACGCCCGGCAGGAGGGTGTCTCATTATTTTGTGTAAGATGCAGAAAATGGGATGTGGAGAGTGGAGGAAAGGAGGGAGGGGTAGGGTGGATGGAGGGAGGGAGGGGACAGAGGGTAGGGGAGGGAAGGGTGGGTGGAGAGAGGGAGGGAAGAGTGGGTAGGGGAGGGAAGGTGGGTGGAGAGAGGAGGGACAGAGTGGGTAGGGGGAGGGAAGGGTAGGAGAGGAATAGAGAGAGGAGGAAGGAAAGCAGAAATGGAATGCGATGAGGGGAGAGTGAATGGAGAATAGGAGAGAGAGAGATCATAACTTTATCTTCTCCTTCCTCTTCTCTTCCCTTCCTTATCTTCCTAATATGTCAACATCATTCTGCTCTCCCATATTTTTTCTCTACTACCCTCTCCACCTTTCTCCCACCGTACTTTTCTGTATCCCACCCTCCCCATTCCTCCTTCATTCTCCTCCCATCCAATAACACCCTTCCTTCCTTCATCCCTCCCATCTTGCTCCCCCTACCTCCTCGCCTCCTCTCTCCCTCTCGTCTTTGTCTAGTGTCTTCCCATTTTTATATATTTCTTTTTCCTCTTTCATTCTTTCTCTCTTTTCCCTTTCCTGCTTTGCCTCTTTCCTTCCCTTCCCTTACCTCGTTCTCCTTCTTCCCCCACCTCCTCCCTCCTCTCCTGATAGAGCTTCTATCTTCTTGCTCCCCTCTTTTGCCCTCCGTCTCTTCCATTCTTCTTCCTTCCTCACTTCGTCCTTTCCTCCTTTTATTTTTTCTTTCTTTCCTGCCCCTCCCTTCCGCCTTCCTTTTTCTTCCCTTTTCCTAGTTCCTCTTCCTGCCTCCTGCCTCCACTTCCTATGTTTTTCTTCCTCCTTCCTTTTCCTCCTTCCTCGCTCCCTCCCTCTAACCATCAAACAACATCCAAAAATAACAACCAACAAAACTTTGGTCAATAAAGCACTCCAGTAAAACATCAAAAACAGAAATAGGTAAATAATGTTTTAAATCACTGTGTAAATGACATCAAAACATGCAGCGGTGGCCGGACGTGTCCTGTTTGTTGACGAGTACGGTTGGTGGTGACACACACACACATATATATATATATATATATATATATATATATATATATATATATATATATATATATATATATATATATATATATATATATATATATATATATATATTGATAAAATCACACAAGGAAAAGGGAAACAATGGGGCACCTTAGCTTTCGTCTTTATTCAAGACATCTTCAGAGGCAACTGAATTACAAGGACCGAAAGAGGCTTAAGTACACAGGGTGACCTTACTCAACATGCTTCTGTAATTTTGGATAAAAGAAACTATAATGATAAGATGAATTCATTACTAAGTGATGAAAGCATTTATTGTGAGCTTACAAAAGATCCCCTGGAAAATATTAATAAGTTATCTAATTCTAAAATAAAGGTGTTATTGAAAAAGAACCCCCATCTCATCAAACAGCTCCCTCAAATCAATCCCACTTTACCTTATATGTATGGATTGATCAAAACACATAACCTTAACAATCCATTACGTCCTATAGTGAGTTCTGTGGGTTCTGTTACGTATAAATTATCCAAGTGGTTTATTAGGATACTATCCCCTCTTACAGGCCAAATATCTAATTCACAAATACACAACAATAGTGATTTAATTGATAAACACAGGGAACACAATGAACCATGTGAATTAATAAGTTTTGATGTAAATTCAATTTTCACTAGAGTACCAGTGAAAGACCTACTTTCATTTCTTAAAGTTAAATTGCAACTGTTAGATTTGATAGTTGAACATGATACTTGCCTCAAATTGGTAGAGTTATGCGTTACTGACAATGTGTTTAGAGCAAATGGGAAGATTTACAAGCAAATATTTGGCATGAGCATGGGTAATTGTCTTTCTGCTCCTCTAGCCTGTATTTTTATGTAGTTTTTTGAGTCTAGATTACTACCCAACATAGGGGACTTTATTCCTCCATGGTATAGATATGAAGATGATGTTCTTTGTCTTTGGCCTAGAAACAGTGACCCACTGAAATATTTAGACAAGCTTAATGATCTTGTCCCTTGTATTACATTCAAAATTGAAAGAGAAATGAATGGATTCCTTCCATTTCTTGATATGCTTATCATTAGAAATGGTCATAACTATAAATTTAAGGTGTATAGAAGGCCTACACAGATAGACAGTTTCATACATTTTTTATCGAGTCACCAGGAATCTACCAAAATGTCAGTTTTTCTGCTATGTTTTTGAGATGTTTGCATATTTATGACCTTCAATTTATTGAGGAAGAAGTGAAACACATTCAGTCCATTGCACAAAAACTTGGGTACCCTTCATTGTTTGTTGATCATTGTTTTAAAAGGGCCAAAAAACCCTGTAATGGCTAGTGCTACTTGTGAACAGGGCTGTGCCCTTCTGAGGGCCGAGTTAGAGAGGGCCAAGGAAGATATCTTGAAATTAAAGGAAGAGATAGCGAGGATGAAGGAAGAAACGAGGCAAGGCAAGCCGATGTCTGATGAAAACTCAGGCGAATGGAAGGTTGTGAGGAGAGGGACGACCAAACTGGTGGTGAAAAAACACACCAAGGATACGACAAGAACGACAACAACAGCTAAGTGTACCTACTCTTTCAGTCCCTTAATAGATGAATTGGACAATAGTATAGTCAGGGACAGGGCTGTCAAGGAAGGTACGAAAATTTTGATTGTTGGCGACTCCCAGGTACGGTACCTAGACAGAGCTTTTTGTGGTAAAGATAAAAATAGGATGAGGGTGTGTTTGCCAGGAGCTGGGGTGGGGGATATAGTTGACAGGATGGACAATATCTTCTCTGGTAATGGGAACAAACCCATTATCTGCCATAGCACAGGATGCAATGATATTGGCCGGTGTAGGAGTGAGGAGCTTCTTGATAAGTTCAAGACAGCTACAGAACATATTAGGTCTGAGGGAGGGATCCCTATCATATGTAGTGTCCTGCCTAGAAGGAGAGCTGGCAATGAATGGTTGTCAAGGGCAGTTGGTGTCAACGGCCGTCTTGACAGATATTGCAAGTCAATATCAGTCCCATTCATTGACAACTGGGACAATGTCTACGGCAGAAAGGATCTTTATGCTAGGGATGGGGTGGCAACCCTGGCAGGGTCTCTCGAGAGGGCAGTTCAAAAGATGTAGAAGTCTTTATACTGCTAGGGGAACATATGAGCACGGGGGTGGAGGAGACTGTAGTGGGAGCTGGTAAACAAAGTAAAAGGTTACAGGGAAATAGTGCTAGGAATTATGACAAAACTAGATTAGGCAGGGAATTAAAACCTAAACGCGACAGAGAGAGGACTCAGAACACGACTAACTTAAATGTCTACTATACAAACAGTAGAAGTATGAGAAACAAAATGGATGATAATAGGGCCTTGGTATGTACCGAAAAAATCGATATAATAGCATTCACCGAAACATGGATAAACCTGGACTCACGTGAGTTACCTGTCGAATACCAAATTGCAGGTTACAAATTATTCCATACCGATAGGCAGATTAGGAAAGGAGGCAGAGTAGCAATCTATGTCAGGAATAATATGAAGTATGAAATAAATAAGGAAATCAAAACTGAACTGAATACAGAAACAATTTGGATATA